GCCCAGGGCCTAAATCTCCTGCTGAAGACCTGAGAGAGAAAATGGAATAACCAAAGCCTCTTACCTTTCTCCAGTCCACTTGAATGCGTACCAGTGCAGTCCATTTGCCCCTGAGGACACCCACCTGCTGGTCTTTGGCTTCTACGAGTCAGATCTCACTGGCTTCTCTGGGTCCCAGCTGCTTTCACTCTACTGAGCCCTGCTGTTTCCCATGGGGGTCACTCCCCTTCCAGGCATGTCCTCCAGCTCCAGCTGACAGGTCAGCCAAACCAGGACCAAGAGAATCAACAAAGATTTCAATATCCAGTGTGTTCAGCAGAGATCTAAACTGCACACACACAAAAAAGAAGTAGAGAGGCACACAGCTCCCCTGACAACATTGTGTCCCAAAGCAATGTCTTCTGTGCCCCTCATTAAGGAGCTCATTGTCTCTCACCAGATAGGCAAGTGCTTCCAGGGTCTCTCAATTCCTCAACAGGAGGTAACACACATTTTAACCCAGTACCTCAGCAAAGGAAGTGGTGATAATTTACGTACTTGTGATAAAGTTCCTGAAAAGATCCCTAGACTGCAAATTTCCCCTCCAAAATATGACAGAAAAAGCTTTCCAATTGCAAAACATTGGCCTCCTTGCTGTTAAAAAAAGTACCCCTGAAAGAGCCAAAACAATTTTGCCAAAATAAATTGCAGAACTTGAACTTTCTTATTTGAAATCTCACAAAACGTTACAAGTACTAAAAACAGAAACTGCTGGCATAAGAATACAAATAGGGACTAAAGGGATAGAATTAAGAGTCCAGAAATAAACCCTCACCATTATAGTTCATTGCTCTTGCATAAGGGTGTCAAGATAATTTAATGGAGGAACAATCATCGTCTCAAATAACAGTGCAGAAACAGCTAGATAACCACACGCAAAACAATAACCTTAGAGAACTATGCTTCCAACCATATCAAACAATTATCTAAAAATGGATGAGTGAGTTAATTACAAGATCTATAACCATAAAAACATCTTAGAAAAAGACATAGGGGTGAAACTTAATGACCTCAAATGTGCAATGGATTCTCAGGTATGACCCAAATGCATGAGAAAGAAAAAGGAAAAATAGATAAATTGGGCTAAAGATGCAATCCTTTTGTGTATCAAAGATATTATCAAGAAAATAAAAAGACCAAACACAAAATGAGACATAATAGTTGCAAATCACAAAGACAATGGTTTCACGCCTAGAATATATAAAGAACTGCTACAACTCGATAATGAAAAGGCAAACCACCAATTTATATAAATGGTCAAAGGACGCAAATAGACATTTCTTCAAAGAAGATATGCAGATCATCAAGAGGGACATGAAAAGAAACTCAACTGCATTAGTCATTAGGAAAATACAAAGTCAAAGCCACAATGAGATACCACACTACACCTACAAATATGGCTACCATTCTTTTCAAATGCTAAATAACAAGTGAAAGCATTATGTAGAATTTGGAATCCTCATACATTGCTGGTGAGATTATAAAAATGTACAGCCACTAGGAGAAACAGTTGTGCTGTTCCTCAAGAAGCCAATCATAGAATTCTCTTATGAAACAGCATCCATTCCTAGGTATATACCCAAAGAATTGAATCCAGGGACTCAAATAGGTACTCACATGGGAATGTTGATTGCAGCATTACTCACAAAAGATAAAATATGAAAACAATCCAAGTGTTCATCAACACAATAAACAAATATGGTGAACATGCAACAGAATGTTAATCTGCCATAAAGAGGAATGAAACTCTGACATCTGCTGGAACATGCATCGACTTTGGAAACATTACGCTAAATGAAATAATGTCAGAAACTAAATAACATATATATAAAATTCCATTTATATGAAACATCAAGAATAGGCAGATTCATAGAGACAGAGTAGAGATGATTAAGGTCTAGGGTGGAAAATACAGGGAGTTATTATTGTTTCAAAGATACAAAGTTTCAGTTTAAAAAGATAAAAGTTTTCTAGGAAAAATAGTGGTAATGGTAACTTAACACTGTATATGTGGTTAATTCCACTTGAGTGCACATTTTAAAGTGGTTAAAACAGCACATTATTCACAGAACTGTGAAAAATCAATTTCTATAATTTAATTCACCCAGGCTAAGGTCTTTGTTATGGCAGCTGAAGCCCATGAATACATCATCTGACCCAGTGTTTTCTGTGAAACGTATCACTTTTTCATTCAAGTTAGCTGGAAGCTCCTCTCCCCAGAAGAACTGCAGGTCCCAAAACAAGAGCTCCAGCAGGGGTTCAACGAGGACAGATCCCACAGGGCAGCCTCGATGTCAGGCCCTGGATGGCATGTGAGGCTATAATGGTACAACCACAACGTGAAAGTGTAAGTGTTTTTACTACTTACAGACACTGGGGAGCACTCGACACACCTGGAGACCACAGATACAGAGGTCAGCGAGCCCAGGCAGGAAGGAGAGAAGAGACCGGTAAGCCAATGACTTTAGTAAGTCCAGGTGTTGTCTGACAGGTTTCCAGCAGGGAGCTTTAATGGATGTATTTAAAGCAAGCAGCAAACACTGAGACAAGGAGATCATGGTGTGACTGAGAAGGGGTCACTTTAAAGGTGAGGACAAATGTCAGAATTACCAGTTTAAAGAAATCAGATGGAGAGAGGGGAGCCCAGCACACCAAGCAGGAGAGATGCCTCTTAGATTTTATCGCTGGCCACCAACTGCAGTCACTTGAACCAGATACAGTATTGAAAACTGCCATGGTGAGCAAGGCCTGCCTCTGATGTGAGGTAAATAAATTTACACTTTAAAAAATGAATGCCAAGATAACATGACACTATGAGCACTCCTGACATCCAGGGACACCAGCAGGGTGTGGTACTGCGCCCTGGAGTCAGAATCCTGGGTTCTGGTCCCTGCGAGTGAGAAAATGAAAAGGACTTGTCCCTGCTCCCCTGGCATTGATCCTCCCACCCTGCTGCTTCGTCTTCTGCTCCCAAGCCCATGTGCAGTGCTGAGCCCCAGACATCACTGTCCCCAGGGTATACACAGTGCCGCCTACTGCACACAAACACAAACTCACAGAAGGTGACAAAAATCTGCGTTCGGGACATCCGATCGTGAAAGAGGGAGAACGGTGAACGTAGAGCCACAGAGACTGGGACTCACAGGACTGGAAGGTGATGGAACTGTAACATAACATATGTGTGACCTCTTTGAAACGTGCAGATCGTTGTGGAATAAAACACGCAGTCTGGCCTGGGACTTCGGCCACCCACACTTCCCTTCCAGTCCACCAGAGGGCGGCAGAGTCCCTCCGGCCTGGAGCCTTCCCAGGGGATGCCGACCTTCCTCAGCAGAACCTGTAGCCAAGCAGGGTGCACCCTCACCAGGGTAACCTCGGCCCAAGTCCTCAACGTCCTCCATGCTCCCCACACGGACTCTGTCAGCTCCTCCCTGACTTGGTGGCCGCCAACCTAACACCACTCCCTCTGCAGGCAGCTCCTGCCCCACACACCTGCTCCTTCCCTGGGCTCAGTTAAACAGACATCTCCCAGGGCAGCGCTGGTGCACATAACGCCACACTGCGCGCTTTCCCCTGGTGACCTCCCTCCATCCTCATCAACTCTTTCTGTCACTGCTCCCTAAATGTCCGCCCCTCCTCCGTCTGTCCTGTTCTCTGGGGCACCCCAGGCCAAGCCTAGCGGTGACACAGAACAGCGGCTGCCTGAGGTCCCACAGCCTCCCCGGGAATGAGTGAGGCACCCTGTGACCTGCCTGCCCGCTGCACCCCGTGGGGGCTCAGAGCGCGTGTGATGGTCACACACAGGCAACACATAGGATGTGGCCACCTACCTACCCCCGGCTGTCCCTTGGGAAGACAGACCTCTCCTGTGTCCCTGCCGGGAGAAGGGGGTATTATGGCTCTTTGTTCCGAGAACACAACTGACCCCCACCCGCCTTCTCAGGTTTGAGCAACGTCCCTCCAGACAGGCTATCTGGTGACTGCCTGCTCCTCCTCTACAGAGAGCATCTTGGCCAGGTGAAAACCCTCAGGACAGACCCTTGGGTATGTCAGCACATGGAGGGCTGAGCCCATCACGACCACGGAGTAGGTCGGGATGAATCTCTCCAGCTCTGAGCCCCTGCTCTGTCCCAGGCTCCCCTTCCTGTACCTCAACGAGCCATGTTCCACGGGGTTCCTGGGTAACTCCCCACTTCCTCCTGCACCACCATGGTGAAGGTATGGTGACCACAGTACAATCAGCTGGGCAGAGAAGAGAGGACACCAAAGATGGTCAGGAAGAAATGAGAAACCCTGAGTCCCAGCTCAACCACCAGTCCCCAGGGAGCAATAGAGTGACCGAGAAATGTCCTTTGACCATGGGACTCACAGCTCCCACTGAGCAACCAGCACAGGCCTCTCCTCCCAAGAGGCAGAGAGATTCACCCTGCACACCTCCAGGAAGGACACTTTCCTCTGGGACACCCAGGTCCTGAATGTCCATCCTTGGAAGCTGCAGCCAAGCTAGACACAATTAGAGAAAGGAAGGGTCCCTCTCACCAGACGCCACACACCTCACCCACAGCACAATGGGGTGTCCCTGTGACAGGGATCTGGTGCAGCTCCAGCCTCCAGCACTGAAGAGGAGAGCCAGTTGGGGATGAAAGAAGGCAAAGGGCGTGAATGTACACCCGACCCAGAGCCATGGGGACAGCAGGAAGCTGAGACCCAGAACTGTGCTTGCACAACCGACAGGGTATGTGTGTGACTGTGTGTGTCTGCGTGTGTCTCTTTTGTGTGTTTATGTTTCTGTACAAAGTGTGTGCCGAGGTTTGGTGACAGAATCACTGCTGAAAAAGGCAGAGGCCTCCACAATTCCCAGGTACCTGACACAGAGACAAAAGGAAAAACAGAAGGAGGGACAAGGAGGCAGGACTGAGAGGGGAGGGGACAGAGGGGTGTCCTGGGCACAGACGCCGCCCATGAGCCTGAGAAGTGCTCGTGCCCGGGAAGAGGCTCAGCACAGAAGGAGGAAGGACAGCACAGCTGACAGCCGTGCTCAGAAAGTTTCTGGATCCCAGGCTCATCTCCACACAGGAGAACACGCAGGCAGCACAGGCCATGGGACGCCTCTCAGCGCCTCCCTGCACACTGCACATCACCTGGAAGGAGCTCCTGCTCACAGGTGAGGAGAGAACTTCCTGGGAGAGGACAGGAGTAGGAAGCAGAATGATTGGATGGGGTTTGCTGGAGAGGATGGCGTTCTAAAAAATAAAAGTCAGCACTTTAAGAGGCTGAGGTGGTTGGATCATGAAGTCAGGAGTTCAAGACCCGTCTGGTCAACAAAGTGCAGCCCTGTCTCTACTAAAAATACAAAAACTTAGCCAGGTGTGGTGGTGTGATCCTGTAATCCCAGCTACTTGAAAGGTTGAGGCAGGAGAATGCTTGAACCCGGGAGGCAGAGGTTTCAGTGAGCAGAGATTGTGCCGCTGCATGCCAGCCTGGGTAACAGTATGAGACTCTGTCTTTAAAAAAAAAAAAAAATAGAGGAAAGAAGGCTCTGTTGGAGCCTGCATAGGGGAACATATACCACAGAGGGTCAGGGGTCGAAACACGAAAATCACATTGAACTGGAATTGGTAAGAGGTAGGAAAATCTCACGTGTTCTCTTTTCCTGGTTAATCATCACTGGCCACCACATTTTGAAAAATGATAATAACTATTATCAGATGACACTTCAAATGAAAATATAAGCAGGACATGAAACACTGTCCTCAGCAAAAAACCTCAACCATTGGGTAAAGAAAATAAAAACACCCCAGGCATGGAGGGTCCTTGGAACTCTCACATCTACAGGAGTCTGCAGCCTGTTCCAGGCACTGGGGTGCAACCCAGATCACAAATGTCCCTGTCCTCACGGAGCTCATGCTCTCATGGGCAGTAAGGCAGACATGCAAAGAGATCTGGAATGTGAGGGCAGGTGTTGACAAGAGCTCCAGAGGGAGCAGAGCAGGGAAAGATCAGAAAGGGAAGATCCAGGGTCTCTAAAGGAGGTGTCAGGAAAGAAGTCTAAGGATGCCCTGATGTGAGCAGGACCTGAGGGCAGTGTGGAGGGAGCCGTGCAGACCTCTGGGGAAGAGGATTCCAAAGAGAAAAATGCAGAGGTCAGAAGGGTTGAAGGAATGGGGATCTTGCCGCTGACCTTGACCCAGTAGAACAGTAGGACACAAACACACAATCACACACACACACAAAAGGGGTGTGTGTGTGTATGTGTGTATGCTTGTGTGTGTGTGTGTCTTCAAGGCTGATGATTGAAGAGATCATCTCAGGATCCAGGGCCCCATGTTTTCTCCCAATACATAGGTCCCAATATTGACTTATGCTCTCTCCACCTCCTAGCATCACTTTTAATCTTGTGGAACCCGCCCACCACTGCCCAAGTCATGATTGAAGCTCAGCCTACCAAAGTTTCTGAGGGGAAGGATGTTCTTCTACCTGTCCGCAATTTGCCCCAGAAAGTTGCTGCCTACATCTGGTACAAAGGGCAAATAATGGACTTCCACCAATTCATTACAGCATATACAATAGACACTGAAAGAATTATATTTGGGCCTGCATTCAGTGGACGAGAAACACTATATTCCAATGGATCCCTGCTGATCCGGAATGTCACCAAGAATGACACAGGATCTTACACCGTAAAAATCAGGAACCCAGCTGAGGAGACTAAAGGAGTAACTGTACATTTCACCTTATATCGTGAGTGATTCCACATGATCCCTGGGTGTGGGGGTGCGGGGTCACTTCTACTTTGCACACACAGGATTATCAGGCCTAGGCTGTGCCTGTGTCCCTCTCTGCATTATGTCCCATGTTGGGGTTTTGGCATTTAGTGCAGGACACACACAGAGGAGACAAACTTCAATAGATCAGAATTCCTTTCCTGCCTCCAGACCCTGAAGACACTTGCAGCACAGGAAGGACAGTCTGATTTGGGGGGGGTTGTTCAGCAGGAGGAGATCAGTCTCAGCCAAGCACCTCATGTCCTCTTCATGAACTTGACCCTGAGAAAGACCCTGGAAAAGTGAGCAGGGCTTTGCCTAAGAGGCCCCTTGAGATACTCTCAGAGAAGCTCAGTCCTAGAAGCCTCAATCCTAGAACCTGTCCCTAAATCCTTACTCCAGATAAAGCTGAGGAGCCTGCACCAGGGCTGGGTTGTGGCAGGGCTTACTGGAACCAAGGATTTACCAGCTGTCTGAGGACTGAGTCTCCTGGAGCTGCTCACCAGCCAGGGCTCAGCCCTCAGAGCCTCATCTGGGCAAGGACAGAGCTTTCTTCACCTGAGACTCAGAGTGGAGAGGACAGAAAGACAAGCTTTGTAGGCCATCAGCCAACTGCCTTGCGAGGCTTAGGACACTCCATAGAAACTCTAATGTCCCTGAAGGAGAAACAGAAGAGAGAAAATGTACCTGGCAGCAGCTTGTCCACAGGGATCTGACCTAAAGGTGCTCTCTCATGGAAGTGAGTAATAATAAATGCTGTTTGTGTGAACACCTCCACTGTGCCAAGCATTAGGTCAGGTGACTGTGAAGAATTTACAATTTATTCACAGATAGCTGAAAAGCCACAGTCCATTTGCCATTTAGCTTATTTGACTGAGAGAAAACTGAGGCACAGGAAGGCACAGTCACTGAACCAGAATCACACAAACACAAAAGGCAGATCAGGGTCACATGAGGTCTGTCTGCAGCCACAGGCCCATCCTCTCCTCCACCAGAAGTGATGGCTTATTGGATTCCAAGGACCCCATAGTCATTTATTGGCTCAAATCCTCTCTTCTTAGGCATCCAAACCTCAGAGGAGTGAGAGCAAATGGTCAGCTGATTAGTGTGTTCTCCAGAACTAAATCACCTGCCTCAACCATCAGAGTCAGTGCAAAATATGTCCAGATCTCCCCCTCAGATCTTAACCCCTATCACTGAACCTGAAATCCTGCGTTTTCCAAAGTGTCCATGTCACTGGTATGACAGGATAAAAGAGAGGACCTTGTTTGTTTTCCCCACCCACACCCTGCACCAGCACAGGCCCAGTGAGAGACACACCCTCAGGTGCTCTCACATAACAAATGAAGGAATTGAATGAAGAAATGAATGATCCATAACCTCTTTAGAGACTGGATCTTGAATGCAGAATCCTACGAAGTTCTAGCCACACCTGTCCCTTGTCCTTCAGAGACTGACACCCATGTTTCATCCCCCCACTACCTCTTGTCCCTAAAGCCACCCCACCTCATGTGTAACTCTGAAGCTCTTTGGCCGCTGGAGAGTTTTGAGGGCTACCTGGTCCTGGACTGTGGAAATGGGGGCACCTGGTCCCTGGGGTCTCTGAAGTCACTGTAGGCCCCATTGTTCACTGCGGTGGTGTCTCTGCCTCGCTCTGCTTCTCTGTGTCCCTCATCTTCCTCCCATTTCATTCTAACTGGCAAGCCCTGTCCTGCACAGCTTCTTCCTCCACCCCTAGGCCTTCCCCAGACACTCCCTCTAACTAGGCTGACTGTTCTGTTCCCTTCCTGCTAACACTGTGGCCTGGCCCACTCCCAGGAAATAGGAAAGGCACAGAAATCACCTGGAGTTGCCACTCCTGCCAGGCTTCATCTCGAACCAATGTCTCCAGGTCACTAAGAGAAGAAGCTTCCACTGTATTCCCATCCACGGCTATTTCCCTTTGTGAGACTGTTCTGTGGACAAGACCGTGGGACAGGGATAGGCAGCTCCTCCATCCACTCTTACAATTCCCAGACAAGTTTTTCTGGCCTCCTGCACAAACAAAACCAATTTATCCCGATGATGACTTGCAGTAAAGAAAAATTTTAATGACTCCAAGTCTGCCAAACAGGAGTATGGAGGTTTATTATTACTCAAATCAGCCTCCCTAGTGGATCAGGGGTTATAGATTTTCAAGGATAGTTTCAGGGGCACAGGAGTAAAAAATGGGTACTGTTGATTGTTTGGGGATGGAATCATGTGGGCGGAGGGAAATGATCTGTTTGTGCTTGAATCCACCTCTAGGTGGGGACCAGTGCTTGGCTGAGTCTTTAGTCATGGGTATGGATGAGATCAGCCGGCTGCCAGAATGCAAAGAATGAGAAACATCTCAAAAGACCAATCTCAGGTTCTACAATGGTGATGTTATCTATAGCAGCAATTAGTTACAAATTCTGCACACTCTGGTCAAATGATATTTGACCAGTAAGGGACTATAGATACTGTACTTACATTTTAGTAGAATTCAGTTCCCTCCAATAATCTTAGTCTCATGATCTTTCTCCAGTTTTACAAAGGCAATCCCTGGGCAAAAGAAGGGTATTAGTGTTATGGAGGAACTATTATCATTCTTGCTTCAAAGTTAAACCATAAACTAAATTCCTCCCATGGTTAGCCTGGCCTATGTCCAGGAATGAGTGAGGACAGCCAGCCTGAGACTAGATGCCAGATGGAGTCAGCCATGCTAGTTTGCTGTCACTCTTCTAATCTTTGCACTGACTCACCAGGGTGTCAGAGGCTGGACAGGTCTGCAGTCTCCAAAGCCCATGGGCTGACTTCACCCATTTCACTCGTGACTCCATCCTCAACCTACTATTAAGCTCATATTCTCCAGTCAATTCCTAGAGACTTCTGGTTTCCTGTCAGGGGTATAACAAGCTTGAAATTTGTCACTTGATTCTATCAGTAAGTAAACAGCTGAACAAACTCAAAAGTCAACAACTCGTTAAAATCCCTCAGAGATGGCCAGGCACAGTGGCTCACGCCTGTAATCCCGGCACTTTGGGAGTCTGAGGTGGGTGGATCACGAGGTCAGGAGATCGAGACCATCCTGGCAAACACGATGAAACCTCGTCTCTACTAAAAATACAAACAAATTAGCCAGGCATGGTGGTGAGCGCCTGTAGTCCCAACTACACGGGAGGCTGAGGCAGGAGAATAGCATGAACCCAGGAGGTGTAGCTTACAGTGAGCCAAGATCGTGCCAGTGCACTCCAGCCTGGGCAACAGAGCGAGACTGTCTCAGAAAAACAAAACAAACCAAAAAAACACAACACAAAGCTGTTACAGAAATGAAGAATGCTTTTGATGCTTCCTGGTAGACTGCACACAGCTGAGGAAAGAATCCCTAGCTTGAGGATGTGTGAATAAAAACTTCCAAAACTGAAACAGGAAAGTTCAAAAAGAGGGGGGGAGGAAAAAGTGGAACAACATATTCTATTTCATATTTAATTTTGTATTGACAATAGGAATTTTTTAAATTTTGTAGTTGTGGGATGACTACCAAGGCTGTAACATACACGTAATAGGAATACTAGTGGTTTCGGGGACCTGTTAGAGGTGGCCAGGGGGTGCTCTCTGATGGTTTTGCTGCCTGTGCCACATACAGTTGTTTCCTCCTGATGATGCCATTTTCATAAATTGGGGTTCTTCGTGTGGGGGACACATGAGCCATTGGCGTATGACTTAGACTCTTCCTAATTCACACAAACCTAAACTCTAGTTGTATTTCCTGAGGTTAAGAGAAAATGAAGAAAGCATTTCACATACCTGTTTTGGGCTCTTCCCCATTTTTCCTAACTCTGCACAGAAATTAGAAACGGAATTCTTTCTATATTTACTAACATAAACCTCATCACTTCTTTTAATTCTGCATCGTTCCTCCCTTTATGTAATTGACACACTGACCAGTTCTGTCCTTTTAACGGCACTCTCTCTACTTAAGGACTTGCGAATTTCAAATCAGGTTTGGCATCTTTCTTCGAGCATGATGTGATTCTACTGGAATTCATCCCACACCTAAACCTTAATTGGGTATCATGAGAAATACTACTAATAGCAATTGATCTTAGATGTTTGGTCCATCAGTAAAAATTTCCACTTATGACAACATTTTAATGTGTCCTCCAAATATTTTTTGGTTTTGTTACTAGAGTAAGAACATAACATGATGTTTAAACTCCTGACAACTTTTTATGGGAAAATTACAGTATTACAAATTGAGCATCCCGAAACCGGAAATTCAAAATCTGAAATGCTCCCAAATCCAACACTTCTGACCACTGATGTGATGCTATAAAGAAGTGCTCTTTGGAGCATTTTGGATTTTAAATTTTTCAGATTTGGGATGCTAACCCAGTACATCTGCTGCAAATGTTCCAAAAAGAAAAAAAATAGTTAGAAATCCAAAACACCTGGTTTTAAGCTTTTTGCATAAGGAACACTTTGTCTGCATGAACTACAGGCATGAAGCTGTACAGGAGATCTCTAGATCCTCCTCATCCTGCATAACTGAAAGTGCACACCTCCAGAACAATGCCCTATTCTCCCAAACCCAGCTCCTGGAAACCACTATTCTACTCTCTGATTCACTCTGGAATCCACTGAGATGAGATGCATAGAGTAGTCAAACTCATAGAATCAGAGAGTAGAATGTCTAATGAGAGAAAGTACCTGCAAGACTTCTTCCCAAATATTGGTCTAATAGCCACCAAACACAAATGGTCCGTGAGAGCCAGACTTCCATCATCTGTTCATGTTCGCCCTTTCGATCAGTCAGTTCTGCATTTGCAAACATCCACATGTATTTCTAGAAAGATCCACATAGTCCTCACCAGCCCTCTACAGGGGGAAGGGAATATCATTAACACAAACTAGGGAACATGGTCTTGGTACAAATCTATCAGCTCTTGCTTGTCCCGTTCACTCTTTGTAGGTCATTCCTTGGACTCTGCTCTATCTTTAGAGGTCACTGGCTCAATCAGTCACTATGAGACAGCTGGGAGAAAACTGCCCGACCTTGTGGTTCCACTGCCTGATGACTGAACTGACTCCCAGGCTTGACTCTGGTCTCCCCTGTGTTATTTCTAGTGAAGTACGCAGTCCCAGGCCAGGCTTCCCAGTACACAAATGGCTTAAGGACAATGGGAAGTTCCATTATCCATCTCTAGGATGTCCTTGAAAGGGAAGCTGCGGAGAAAATATACTTTGGGGGGCAAAGAAAACTGAAACTAAGAAGATACCAGCACTGCATGCTCCAGATGAGGACCACAGGGTGGGCCAGGCAGGCAGTTGGAGAGGGAGGTACTCAGAGAGGCACCAGGGACTGTGACTGCTGGTCCCGTGTCTTTCCATGACCCAATGCTGCTGCTCAATTCACACTTGAGAAAGTCTGTGCTTCTCTCACATACAGAAGGCAGCCTCAGAGTCTCTGAGCCCTCAGATTGCCATGTATCTGTCTTGTAACACATACACACCTGCCATGGGGTTTTAAGAACTTGGGTGGGCTGAGAAGTGGGAAATGCCATCTCTGATTGAAAAATGTCTTTGGAGGAATCAAAGGTGCCACACAGGGCAATCTTCTCTCTGTTATCTGCACAGTGGAGACTCCCAAGCCCTACATCTCCAGCAGCAACTTAAACCCCAGGGAGGGCACGGAGACTGTGATCTTATCCTGTGATCCTGAAACTCAGGATGTAAGCTACCTGTGGTGGATAAATGGTCAGAGCCTCCCTGTCAGTCGCCCGTGGCAGCTGTGTAAAAACAACAGGATCCTCATGCTATATGGTGTCACAAAGGATATTGCAGGACCCTATGAATGTGAAATGAAGAACCCAGTGAGTTCCAGCCGCAGTGACCCAGTCACCCTGAATCTCCTCTGTGAGTATCTTCTGTTCCTCTGTGAGCCAGGCTGCCATCCCAAATACACATGGCCAGAGGCCAGGCCTCCCAGTCCCTCTCAGGTCCAAGTACAGAGACCTTTATCCCTGGACATCAAAGCTGGCCATGACTACTAAGAGTAGGCTTAGGTTTGATCAAGAATTGGAGAGAAGAGGCTGCTTCTGTCAAGGGAGGCTCTGGGTCCACAGGTTATGTTGGGAGAAACAGGTGAATGTCTCAGGCTCCAGATCAGTGAACACAGCAGGGATTTGGCTGGAACTTCAGTTTTGTGACTTAGCTCACAGGGTCACTGTGGCCCTTCCACAAACCAGGATTTTCCCTTCCCTCTGACAACATCAGCTGTGACTTTATTCTCTTTGCTCCAGATGGCCTGGATGCCCCCACCATTTCTTCTGCATACACCTATTAGCACAGAGGGGAAGTCCTCAAGCTCTCCTGCCTCACAGACCCTCACCCACTGGCAGAGCATTCTTGGCTGATTGATGGAAAGTTCCAGCAATCAGCATAAGTGTTCTTTATCCCCCAAATCACTAAAACATATACAGGGGTCTATGTGTGTTTCACCCATAACTCAGCCACTTGTGGAACAAATCTCATAATCAAGAGGATCATAGTCCCTGGTAAGTGGATTCCTGGAGCACTGGCAATGTGTTTTCCAGTGAAGTCTATCTGGCTGTCAGGGAAGAGCCACCTGCCCTCTGCAAAGGGAGAGGGAAAATCAAAAACCCAGGACAGGGAATATGTTTCTGCTCCAAAACCAACAGCTTTTGCCTGTCCCCTTCACTCTTTCTAGTTCATTCTTTAGACTATACACTAACAGTGAACAATCTGAAAGGATATTAAGAAAAGAATTTCCATTCACATTAACATCAAAAGGAATAAAATATTTTGGAATAAATTGAACCAAAGAGGTCAAAGAATTATACCCTGATAACTCCAAAACATTACTGAAAGAAACTAAAGACGACATCAATATATGGAAAGACATTTCATTCTCACGGGTTGGAAGAATCAATATTGTTAGGAAGGTGATGCTAACCAAAGTGAGCTGCAGATTCAACGCAACCACTACCAGAATCCCAGTAACATTTTTTGCAGAATTACAAAAATCTGTCTGAGAAAAAGATGCAACCATGAAAAGGTGAAAAATTTTGATGACATAGAAAATAGCAATCAGCCTCTCTCACATCCCAAAGCCTTCAAAAATATACAAGCACAGCATGGCCAGTATGGAATTGACCAAAAACTAATCACCAAGCTGGAAACGTGGTGAGAGAAAAAAAAAGGGGGGGGTGGCAAGAATGTATTTGGCCTATCATCTCCCACTTTGATGTACGAATCTGATGCTGAAAAGAAATGCTCACTGGAGCATTTTAGATTTTGAATCTTTCAGATTTGGGATGCTAAACCAGTAAGTATATGACAAATAGTTCAGAATGAAAAAATGTCAGAAATCCAAAACACTTTTTATCCTAAATCTTATGCATAAGAAATACTGAGTCTGTGTGAACTATAGGCATTGAGCTGTATAGCAGATCTCTAGAACCTCCCCATCTGGCATAACTGAAACTGCACACACATGAACAACTTCTGATTCTCCCCACTCCCAGCTCCTGGCAACCAGCAGTCTCTTCTCAGATTCACTCTGGAATCCACTTACATGAGGTCCCTAGAGTAGTCAAACCCATGGAATCAGAGAGTAGAGTGTCCAATGAAAGAAAATATTTGCAAAAATTCTCCCCAAATTTGTCTCATATCCATCAAACACACATGGTCCATGAGGACCAGATTTCCAGAAGTTCATTCCCACCCTGTCTACCAGTCAATTCTGCATTTGCAAATGTCCACATGTATTTCTGGAAAGATCCACATAGTTCTCACCTGCCCTCTGCAGAAGGAGAGGAAACTTAAAGAACCCAGAACAAGGAACATGGTTCTACTCCAAAATCACCAGCTCTTGCCTGTCCCCTTCACTCTTTCTACATCATTCCTTGCATTCTGCTCTATCTTTGGAGGTCACTGGCTCAAGTAAGTCATCATGAAACACCTGTAGAAAACTACCCCACTTTGTGCCTCCACGGCCTGATGACTGAACTGACCTCCAGGCTTGACTCTGGTCTCCCCTGTCTTCTTTCTGCTGAAACATCCAGTCCCAGGCCAGGCTGCTCAGTATCTTCAGGGTTTCAGGACAATGGGAAGTCCCATTATTACTCATCTCTAGAATGTTCTTGGAAATGGAAGCTGCAGAGAAATCACATCTAGGGGGGAAAAGTAGGATGGAATTTGGAAGGGGCCCAGCAGTTGCACATTCCAGGTAAGGAACCCAAGGTGAACCAGCCAGTCAGTTGATTAGAGAGGGACTGGGAGGGGTGCGGGGGCTGTGACTCCCACTCACATGTCTGTCCATGACCCAACACTGCTGATCAATTCACATTTGAGAAAGTCTGTGCTTCCCTAAGACAGAGCAGGTGACCTCACAGTCTTTGAGCCCTTAGATCATCATGCATCTGTCTTGTGACACACACATCAGCTATTGACTTTCAAGGACTCGGGTGGGCTGAGAGGTGGGAGATGCCACCTCTGATTGAAGGATGCCTGTGGCGGAATCAAAGGTGCCACAGAGGACAAACTTCTCTCTGTTATCCACACAGCGGAGCTGCGCAAACCTTACATCACCAGCAACAACTTCAACCCATGGAGAATAAGAATGTTGTAGCCTTAACTTGTGAACCTAAGACTCAGGGCTACACCTACTTGTGGAGGGTAAATGAGAGCCTCCCGGTCAGTCCCAGGCTAAAGCAACCTGCTAAAACCAGGATCCTCATTCTACCCAATGTCACAAGAAATGACACAGGACCCTATGAATGTGAAATATGGGACCGAGTTGGTAGCATCTGCAGTGACCCACTCACCCTGAATGTCCTTTGTATATTTGGTTCCTCTGTGGGCCAAGCCACCAGCTAAAATTCAAATAACCAGAGGCCCGACATCTCAGTCTCTCTCAAGTCCAAATACAGACACTTTTATGTCTGGACACCTGAGCTGGCCTTCACTCCCTGCCCTGGGGAAACCTGGGTAGGCACAGCTTTAACCGAGAATAGAAGGGGAGGGGCTGCTCTTGTCATGGGAGACTTGGGGTCTACAACCGGTGATGGCAGGAACAGATGAATACTTTAGGCCTCGTTTCAGTGAACACAGAAGGGGTTTGGCTGGGCCTTGAGGATGTGTCTTGACTCAGAGGGACACTGTGTCCCTTTAAGAGACCAGGAGCATCCCCTTCCCTCGGATGACATCACCTGTGGCTTTATTCTCTTTACTCCAGATGGTCCACAAGTCCCCAGGATTTTCTCTCCATTTAACTATTACCGTTCAGGAAATACCCTCGAATTGTCCTGCTTCGCGAACTCTAACCCACCGGCAGAGTATTCTTGGACGATTAATGGGAAGTTTCTGCAATCAGGGCAAAAGCTCTCTATCCCCCAAATTACTACAAAGCATAGTGGGCTCTATGGTTGCTCGGCTCGTAACTCAGCCACTGACAGCGAACGTTCCACATTCAAGAGGATCACAGTCGTGAGTAAGTGGATCCCTGCATCATTGTCAATAGGGTTTCAGGTGGAGTCTATTTGGCTTTCAGAGAAGTCAGGAAAACATTTTTATTCCCAGCCTGTGTACCATGGGCAGAAGCAAATCCTAAATTCTCCTCCTGAACCCTCCCAATTTGTCTCTACAGACTCTCTTCTCCTTGTTTTTCTGTTTTCTCATGGTTGACCTTGTGTCCAACCTGGGAAAGGTAGGGAGGGGGCTTTGTCATCCTTGAGCCCTGTGTGGTGGAAGAGGCTTCACAGGGACAAGAAGGAGAGTCCTCAAGATCAAGTTGTTTCTTGCTGTCACCAACATATCCCTGTCCGCTACGTCTTTGTTTTCTTTTACCTACTCTATGAGCTACAAGGAACATCTGAGGTTTTGAAAGAAGCTCAAATTTTTCCCCCAAATGAGAGGAGGAAGCCCCTTGGATGAGGGAGGAGCAGCTCAGACTGCTCCCTTCTCTGCTCCGGGCTTCTCTGGTGACTGGCCCTTCCTGACTCCACCTGGGGTGAGACCAGCATGTGTGGAGAAAGGGCGCTGGTGGCCTGTCCTGAATTTGGCTAAATCGAACTGCCAGTTGAAGTGAAGGCTAGATTGCAGGGAAATAAGAAGAGAGGGAGCCTCGGGGAAGACTCTTGAGCTGTGTCCTGGCTCTGAAGTCACCGGCTGTATGAGGCTGTGGGCACTGCATGTGGGACACAGCAGAGAGGACAGTGAGTGATGCACACTTGGAGAAATAGGGAGATTCACCTCTGGGGCTCTGCATGGCAGGAAAGGGGCAATGAAAAAAGTGTGTATTTATAGAGTGTAAGACTACCAGGACACTTTATATGTATCTAATATAAGACTTATCATTAACTATTTCTACGTGAGCAATTTAGTGTTGTGTAACCATCACACTATCCATTTCCAGAACTTTTTCCTTTTACCATATTAAACCTCTGTACCCTATAAACAGTAACTCTCACTTCCTCTCCCCCTATCCCTTAGTACATACCATTCTACTTTCTGTCTCTATGTAACTGGCTATTCTATCTTTTATAAATGGAATTATAGAATAATTATCCTTTCGTGTCTGCCTAATTTCAGTTAGCATAATGTCTTCAAGGTTCATCCACTTTGCACGATGTATTGGAATTTTATTCTTTGTTAAGGTTGAATAACATTTTGATGTATAGATATACCTCATTGGCCTACCCATTTACGTTTTAATGGACTTTTCTGTTGTTTCCTTTTTTTGGCTATTGTGAGTAATGCTTCTCTGAACATCAATGTGCAAATCTTTGTTCAAATTTCCTTCCATTCTATAGGCAGTATGTCCAGAAGTGGAATTGCTGGATCGAATGGTAATTTATTGTTTAATTTTTTGAGAAACAGCTACACCACTTTTTACAGTGGCTATAACATTTCCCATTGCCATCAGTAATGCACTAGAGCTCCAATTTTTTCATCTATTTGAAAACACTTGTTGTTTTATGTTGCTGTCATTGTTGTTTATCAAAGCCATCCTAAAGTTGTGAGGTGATGTCACATTGTGGTTTTAATTTGCATATCTCTACGTATTCATGACTCTAAGGAACTCTGCATGGGCTTATTGGATATTTGCATATATTCCTAGGAAAAAACTCTATTTTAATCCTTTGTTCATTTTTTAATTGGGTTTTTGGATGTTTGCTGTTGTTGACTTGTAGTTTTTCATGTATTCTGGAAATTAATTTCTTATCACACATAACTTGCAAATATTTTTCTCATTTCATGGGTTGCCTTTTTACTTTCTTGATAATGTTCTTCAATATATAAAAGGTTTTGATTTCTATGAAGTCCAATATATCCATTTTATTTGTTGCCTATGCTTTTGTTGTTACAACCAAGAAATCATTGTGAAATCCAATATCATGAAGTTTTTCTCCTGTTTTCTTCTAAGAGTTGCGTAGATTTTGCTCTTACATTTAGATCTTTGATCTACTGTGGGTTAATTTTTGTATATGATGTTAGGTAAAGGTTCCACTCATTCTTGCCCTGGGATATCCAGCTTTTCCAATATCATTCGGTGAGAACACTGTCCTTTCCCCATTGAACGATCTTGGCACACTCGATGAAAATCATTTGGCCATATATTCAAGTATTTCTTTCTGGGCTCTCTGTTCTATCTTATTAATTTCTAAGTCCTCCTTTCTGCCAGTACCACACTGTATTGGTTACGGGGGCTTTGTAGTAAATGCTGACATCAGGAAGTGTGAGTCCTCTAGCCTCATTCTTCCTCTTCAATGTTTTTTGTCTCTTTAGAGTCATAAGATTCAATATATATTTT